GGACAGGCCTCCTCAGAAGCCGGCGCGGCTACTCGGAAGCCCTCCAGCCTTCTGAGAGGCCGTCTCTGCCTCGGGACGCGGCCCAGAACACTCCTCGGAGGGCGCGAGGGCTTCTGAGAAGCCCCGCCACCCTCTGGGAAGGCCGGCCCCCTCTCGCTTCCTCCCTGGGCGTGCCGCCGAGTCGGTCGGCCTCCTCCTACTCCTCCTCCTCCTCCTCCTCCTCCCCTCCTCCTCCTCCTCCTCCTCCTCCTCCTCCTCCTCCTCCTCCTCCTCCTCCTCCAGGCAAGAGTGACCCTCAGCGCGCGGATTAACGGGGCGCAAGGTGGCCGAATCCAAGCGCGCAAGCAGCCACCATCGCATCGCAGTCAGCGATCGGGGGGACCCTGGTGAGTCCGCACTCAAGGTGACTCTGGCGAAGGGTCACTCTTACGTGTACAGTCGGGGCTGATTGGAGAGGGCACGCGAGAGGACACAAGACCCTACCGAGGGCCACATTGCCATAGGAACGTAGAAGGCCTGGGACGCGAAACACAGGACACGAAGGTCCTCTTGACTTGGCAGGGTCGACCTACTCATCAGCCTCGACAGCAGTCGAGTCGGGGAGGGGAAGCGCGAACCTGCCCAGGGGGGGCAGCCCGCTGGTCCACCCGCAACGAGGGGGAGAGGCCGGGGGGGGAGGAGCGGCAGCGGCAGCGCGGAGGCGGCGGTCCTTCTGCTGCACCGCGGGCGCCGCCGCGGTCTCTGGCGCGGGGGCCGCGGTCTGCTGGCGCATCCGCGGGAAGCCCGCTGGAAGCTCGGAGGCCTTGGCTGCAGAAGGGGGGAGCCTTGTCCTCTGCCTCCTCCTCCTCCTCCTCATCCTCCTCCTCCTCCTCCTCCTCTCCTCCTCCTCCTCCTCCTCTTCCTCCTCCTCCTCCTCCTCCTCCTCCTCCTCCTCCTCCGCCTCCTCCATCTCTTGTATAATAAATGAGCCGATATTCGCGTCCCCGAGGCCACGAACCCTCTCAAGTTACACCATACTTGCGCCTCCGAGGCCATCATCCCTTGTAAGTTTACCATGTTCGCGTCTCCGAGGCTACAAACCCTCGTAAAGCATGCAATTCGTGCGTCCCCGAAGGAATAAACCTTCGAAAATGATACAAGTGATGAACCCTTGCAAATTACCCCATACTCACATTGCCGAGGCCAAGAATGTTCCAAGGCGCCTGAAGATGGTTCCACGACGGCCCAAGAAGGCCCAAAGCGGCCCCAAGAGCGCTCCAAGAGGCCTCCCGACACAGCCCCAAGAGGCCAAAATCGTAGATTTCACGAAGGTGTTTGAAGGATGTTGGCATTCCCGCATGTTCGGCTTTCCGACGCTCCAAGACGGCTCAAGAAGCTCCCAAAACCGCCTCAAGACAGCCAACGACGCCTCTTAGAGGGCGCCAAGACGGCCCAAGAGGGCTCCAAGATAGCCCAAGAAGCGCTCAAGACGGCCCAAGAGGGCCCCAAGACGGCCCCAAGGTGCCCAAGCAGGGGACCACGAACCGAACATTCGATACCTGTGCCCCGAGAAGCCCCCAGAAGGCCCCAAAAGGCCGTCAAGCGGCCCCAAGAGGCGCCCAAGACGCGCCCAAGAGGCCTCCAAGAGGCCCAATAGATACCCCACGAGGCCCCAAGAGGCCCCCAAGAAGCGCCCTAACCGCCTCCGAGAGGCCCCCGAGAGGCTCCCCACGACACTCCAACACATACAAGAGGCCTCAGACCCACGACCCAGGCACGGTGGCGGGATGGGCCGAAGGCCACTAGGATCCGCCGCCCCCTTTTGATTCATCAAAGGGGTGCCTGGCGTGCTGGACTTCTTACGGTTTGGTCTTGGTTCTTGTTCCAAAAGAACCGAAGACGCCTACGGCGAATCACCGCCGCCCCCTGCCTTTGTGGAAGCGCATACGTGGCCGAACGGTGAGGCCAGACCTGCCAAGCTATCGGACCATGTGTTCCCCGAATCGGTTTGGAAAGCCTTCGGGGAACACGTGGGCATCTTGAAGGTAATATTGGCCGTCTGGAGGCCATGTTGACCCTTTCGGGACTTCTCGGAGGACGTCTTGGAGGGCTCTTGGGCCGTCTTGGAGGCCATCTTGAGCGTCTTGGAGGCCTCTTCGGCCGTCGTGGGGGCCTCTTGGGGCCGTCTTGGGCCTCGTGGGCGATCTTTGGGGGCCGTCTCGGGCCGTCGGAAGGCCGAAACAAAAAAGCAAATGTCACAATCCTTCAAGGACTCACTCATGGGACATCAACGATTTGGGCCTTGTCGGGCCTTCCTGGAGGCCCTCTTGGAGGCCTCTTGGGCCGTCTTGGGCCATCTTAAGGCCATCTTCGGCCGTCTTGGTGGGCTCCTGGCCCGTCTGACGCCGTCGGAAGCCGTTTGGGGGGCCTCCCTGGGCCGACTTGGGGCCATCTTGGAATGATCCAGGGCCGTCTTGGAGGCCATCTTGGGCGTCGTACAAGCCTCCTGGGCCGTCTTGGGGGCCTCTTGGGGGCCTCTTGGGCCGTTCTGGGGCCATCTTGGAGGCCTCTTGGGCGATCTTGGGCGATCTTTGGGGGCTCTTGGGCCGTCGCGAGCCGTCGGAAGGCCGAAACGAAGCAGATGCCAAAATCCTTCAAAAACATATGGGAAATCACTGATTTTGGCCTTTTGCGTGCCTTCCTGGAGGCCCTCTTGGAGGCCTCTTGGGCCGTCTTGGGCCAGCTTCGAGCCAATTTCGGCCATCTTGGTGGGCTCCTGGCCCGTCTGACGCCGTGGGAAGCCGTTTAGTGGGCCTCTTTGGGCCGACTTGGGGCCCCCCTGGGG